ACTTCAATAACATATTTATGTGTGGGGAAACTGAAGAAATTGATCATTCAAGGCTGTGATAATTTGGAGTACTTATTCTCATCTTCTATAGCTAGAGGTCTAGTGATGCTCGGTCAAGTTGAAATAAGGGAATGCAAGAGGATGAGAAAGATTATTGTCACAGAGAATGCAGAAGAAAAAGAGAATTTAATTTTTCCTCAATTGAACTTCCTATTGCTAAAAGACCTTCAAAACATTGTTGGATTCTACTCAGGGAATTGTATCGTTGAATTCCCATCCTTAAAGCAACTGCAATTATTGAACTGCCCAAAGTTGGAAGGATTCATTGTTAAATATTTTGCAAGCACAAATGTCACTGCTGACAAACAACCATTCTTCAATGAACAGGTAAATTTTTCTCATTTCACTTGCATTTTGTTTTCTCATTAATTTAAGGAACTAATCTAAATGCGGCCTGATGCATTCATTATGTAGGTTGCTTTTCCCAACTTGGAAAGTCTGACTCTCACCCACTTGAAAAACTTGGATATCATATGGCACAACCAATTCCATGCAGATTCCTTTGGCAAACTAAAATCATTAGTGGTTAGCAATTGTGAGAAGTTATCCACTATTTTTCCATCTTCTGATATGCTGGGAAGAATATGGAAATCCCTAGAGAAGTTAATTATATCTATTTGTGGCTCGCTGGAAGTGGTATTTGGAATTGCCGAGTTCAATGTCAATCTAACACATGCTATAATAGACACCAAGTTGAGCGAATTGAATATTTATGATCTACCAAGATTGAAGTATGTGTGGAATAAGGATCCCCAAGGGATACTCACTTTCCACAGCCTGGAATCAGTAGATATAGGATTTTGTGAGGGACTCAAAATTTTGTTTCCAGCTTCAATAGGCAGAAGCCTTTCGCAACTTCAAAAGCTACATTTATTTATGTGCGGGGTGGAGGAAATTGTTACAATGGGAGAACAGGGAAATGAAGCAATTGTTGACTTTGAATTTCCTCGAGTGTCAAGTCTTAAGCTTGAGTGGCTACCAAGACTCCAATGTTTCCATCCAGGGAAGCACACAGCAGCGTGGCCAAAATTAAAAAAGTTCCACTTTTCCCTTTTCAATCAAGTAAAGAGAACAGATGGCAGTTGGCAACTTGATTTCCCTGTACGACTACCACTTTTCTCCATAGAGAAGGTACAAAGCTTCTTACCAAAATAAATAATAAAAGAATTCCTTACTTCAAATATATATATAAATATATATAATGGAATCAAAGTAATTTTTAATAATCTACTATACATGGAAATAATATTGAATTGTAGTATTAATTACTTGTTTAGCAAGATCTGAATGCTTTTCTTGATGAAATATAATGAGTGAAAAATGCATGCGATAATTCAAATTATTTCTTTTATTTTGCCATTATTGTTTAGGGATCTCTCTGTTATTAGATTTTAGAGTATTTGTTATGTGAATATTAGATACAACTAACGACTTGCCACCCAAAAATGCAATATGGAGCAATTTTTACTCCTCTTTTTTTTTTTAATCAGCAAAGAAAAAAAGTTGTTTTTATTCAATAAGTAATAAAAGTGCATTTGGTTGCCATGTGAAATAATGCACAATATTTTTTTAATAATTTTCTCCTTTTCATAAACAAAATTAAGATTTCATTAAGGAAAAATATACAACTTACACAGAAGTTCTATTGCATTGGATTCCTTTTCAGATCATCTCTCAGTTGGAAGAATTGTCACTATCAAGACATGACATTGCAATGATATATGAACACCAATTTAAAGAAGACTTCTTTTTCAATGTCAAAGTTCTTAAAATTCATGATTATCTTGATAATGAATCAGATGTTTTACCCGTCAGATTACTACAAAGATTCTGCCATCTAGAAGAGCTTGTCATGGAGTTTTGTAATTTTGAAGAACTGTTCCCTTCAAAAGGAGAAGTTGAAGAACAAGAGAAACACATTGAAATTGAGACACGCTCAAAGATTAAAACATTAAATCTAAAGCGCCTTCCATATCTCAAGCATATATGGAGCCGTGACCCATCAATTGTTCTTCAAAATCTTGAAACTCTTCAAGTTTCTAGGTGTGAGAGTTTGATTAGCTTGTCAACATCACCTGCCTTTTTCCAGAATCTCGTAACTTTGAATATAAGCAGTTGTGGAGCAATGGTAAACTTGGTTTCCGTCTCAGTAGTCCAAAGTCTGGTGCAATTAGAAAGAATGACTGTATCATGGTGCTACATGCTGACTGAAATAGTTGGAAATGAAGGAAATGGAACCCAAGATTCAATCATGATCACTTTTACTAAATTAAGATTTCTGGAACTTGAATGCCTGCCAAGATTAGAAAGCTTTTGTTCAGGGAATTTGACCTTCAAATTTCCATCTTTGAAAAAGTTAATTGTGATTCAGTGCCCCAAATTGATGATCTTCAATGAAGGTGACCTAAGCACACCACTACTGCAGAGAGTAGAATTAATTGAAGGAGAGGACAAGTGGCGTTGGGAATGTGACCTTAATACCACCATACAAAGAATGTATATGGAAGAGGTATGAATTGATTTCTAGATAGTTTTGAAGCCACTCATTCTTTTTA